ATCTTTCTCGTTTTATTCTTAAATTGAAGAAAATACGCTGGCGTAAGAACATTATTTCCTTCCTGTTAGAATACCCTGTTAGACGAGACAGGTTATCCTAAGGGCTGGACTTCGGTACCTCTTGGCCCTACCACAACGTACGAGAACTATGCTGGATGTCATTCAAGAATTCACATGTAGAAACGCTAATAGAAGAGAATTCTCTTGCTTCTTCAAAGACTAACAATCTTTTGCATCCTTTTACACCAAACAGTGTTAACTGTACAAAAACATATCTGCTTCACTCCCCCAGTACTGGCAATATATTCATTGACACAAAAAAAACCCTGAGCACTGGAAGAACCGATAGCTTCACCCCTATGAAAAATGCTTCACACAGAGAGATGACAAATAATTTCTACTTTTGACTTGTTCTTAGATACTTGTTCTCCATCTTTATGCAATGTTTGGAAACACTGATATGATTTCCTTCATGTCCACCTGGTCAACCTGAGGCACGGCAGACCTATTTTTGGGTGCTAATGCAGCCTTTCAGTTTATATTCTCATATTACCTAAATGTACAGTTCTTTCCTCCCATAAAGGTAGCTAGCGTTTATTATTCCATAGCCCTTGACAATGTTTTGAGAATTAATCTTATCCGGCATTTCAAAGAAAAAGGTATGTTGACTTTGATTCCCTTGGATTTCTCCGATTCACTTATCTGTCTTTCAGACAGGGTTATAGAATACAGGATTATTGTTAGCTTACGTCCTTATAAAGTGTCCCATCTGTTTAGTTGTTAATATGGCCATCAGAGACCCAGCATTGCTAGTTTTACCACAGATATTTTAAGATCTCTTACAGAAATGTACAAACCCAATACAAGTCTGCAAGATTCTGCAGCCAAACAGGCAGAGGGTTTATCGGAGCCGAGCAGCTTTGATTCTGGTCTTGTTCCACGTTACTGCACACCTAGTCCAATGAGCTAATTACAGCAGTTCGGTTCACCTGTCAGCTGCTTAAAAATTTTTCCGGTCTTAGACTCTGCCTCTATGTTGACCCAATCACCTTATGAATACAGAAGGACCGAACCTCTGTGGAACCCTCTCACAGTAACTACCCTAAGGAAAAGCCTGAAAGTCCTCCCCTCTTTTCTCTGATGGTCTGTATTAGTGTACAATAATACTTCAGTCTTTTTTGTTTAATGCAAGCAGTGGGCATTTCATATCAAAGATAACAGCAACAGCATAGCCTATATACTACAATGGCCCACAATTTTACACTAGGTAGACTCAAGGGCTCAGTAAGTTGAAAAGAACGCAATATGAAGTGCACAATTTTTTGTATACTTACAGAGCCAGAAAGCCTTTTCAGATGTCTAAAAGAAACCTCTAGATATACATGTCTAACAGCAAATTACTTGTCTGTAAACGCATCCTAATTTTATGAATTTCTGGTTCTGCAAGACAGCATTTTCTATCTACTGTTCTAGATCAAGAATAACATTATTATGCATTAGAAGTATTTAAGTGGAGCACGTACATCAAAACAAAGTTGCAGAAATGTTCTTGTGACAAAGCAACTATAACAGATGGTTTTTAATATCTAGGGAAATCAAACCATGACTCTGTTTATTTTTTTACCTAGAGGGTTTCAGGATATTAAGCAATTCCTCCACACACACTGATGTTTGGATGTTTCTACATATTTGTTTCAATTAGTTGTTCACATTTTGATTTTTATTTGTTCTTGCAGTGAACCATTTGCCTCCATAATCTCTTGTTCTTTTTTCTTTCTTCCTGTAAGATGGGATTTCAATGACCACATCTTACCTTAACTAACTGAACAGGTTATCCAAACCCAGCTTGCAACATCCCACACCATACACGTAAAATCAGTATGAGAAAATTGAGAAAACGTCCAGACTACAGCATAGAACAAAGTCTGGAGTCTAGCAATGATCTGAAGCAACTTAACTGCAAGTTTCAAAATTTCAGGTAAACTTCTTGTACAAAAAAAATCCTGTTATGTGTCTTATGAAAGAGAACCTTACATCATACCTAAAACCTAGTAAAAGACCACTTTCAAAGCAACAGGTGCCATCCTTATACACAGACAACAAGCTTAAACGCAGACATAACTAAGCTTTCAGAAATCACTTTGGTGTCTCCCTTTGGCAGACTGCTTCCAGCCTTTCCCATATGGATTTCAGTATTGCAGACTTAACAGCTGATGTTCTGCCTGCCTGTTCCTTAAAGATGTCATTTTCTCATGCCGAGCGAAATTATCTGCAACTAGCTAAGGATGCTTTCGTATTTTGCCCAGATATGGGGTAACAGGACATTAACAATTAGTTTCACAAAAGCAAACCACATATTTGCAAATTCAGGCTTGGGGAAGGAAAATGGCAATGAGGCAAGTACATGAAATAAAAGAACACAAATTGTGGCTTCTGAGAATATAGGTCATGCTACAGAGATCTCCCGAAACAAATACAATTTCCACCATGGAACAGGCTGAACAATTTATTCCCTGACTATTTTTTTTATTACTATTTTTAAAGTCTAGTAGATGATTTTGCACTGACCACTTCGCGTTTGGTGAAAGGTAAGAGACAAATAGCCAAGAGAATTACTGCAGAAAGTGGCAGGCTGGTATCACATAACACATGGCAGAACCCAGGACCTGTTGTAGCGAGGAACGACATCTCCACCAAAAGCCTGGCTGTTACCAAGGCTGAAGTCCAACAAACAAAACCACCAACAAGAAAAGGCCAACAAAACCGAAGAACCATATATCATAATCTGCCTTTCAAAAAAGTAGGTGGATTAGCTTGTGTGGTTTTCTAATTAAAGTTTTAAGATTATTTTTCCCCCCTAAAAGCATTATCAAAAAAAGATTGCCCTTCTTCATTTTGTTCAAACCATAAGAAAAATCTTAGATGTTTCCTGTCAATAAAACACCTCAAGAACTGTCCCTGCTCACAATGCTGCCTCAATGAAGGGAAGATGCAGAAGGTCAACAGAAATTAACTGCATGAACTAGCAAACTTTGCATTTACATTTTGTTTTTTTTGTGTAGAAGGGAACACTTACGCCTAGACAATTTCTTTCTGTAATACTGTGTTACTTAAGAGATAATGTCAATGAAATAGCGCATTGTTAGGGGATAATGGTCTCCTGCTGCTATTAAATGCCAAGGCACAGCTAAGCCATTTATTTGCAAAGCAAGATACATTAATCCTATGATAATATTCTACCACAAATGACATTTCTATTATACTGAATAGAGTATGTTGATTCAATCATTTGATCCCATACCTGCTATTGCAACAGAGCAACAGTTGCTCAAACATGCTGCTCTGAACTTGCATCATTTGAACTGACCCCCTACAGAACGCTGCGGCATTTGCAACCTTTAATCCAAGCATATAAACCTCAGCCAAGTCTCTAATTTTTTTATTTTTTTTTTATGGCCATTTTGTAGATAGAGAAACTAAGACTTGCGCCACCTTGCAGTCCAGCTTAGCAGAATGACCAGAAGCAAAAATGGAGAACTATTTACCTTAAAGCAGAGGTACGCTCTTCTACGTGGGTTTGCAGCTGTTTGCTACCACATAAAAACCTGGATGTGTTTTATACCAGCAGCATGAAGGGTTGGTGTCCTTTAAACTTGCAGAATGAGGTATGCTGTATGCTAAGAAAGAGGGCATGGAGGGCATGTGGGCACCATATTTCAAAGATTTCAAGTATCTAAAGAAAGTAGACTGCTCTTTTCCTTTGGCTCATTGTTCATGCACCACTCCTCCACAGCGGAGGCCTCGAAGCGGTAATAACTTAACTCTGAGATTCTCAGAAGCATGACTCAATCACTACTTTTAAAATGACTGGTTTCCGAATTTCTGCACTGAGATGAACAAGCAACTCCTTGAAAAGGCCCTGCAATCCTTCTTCACCTGAGGGAAAAGCAGATGATTTGAGCAAGATTTCACATGTCCACAGACTGGATGTAGCTTCAGACATGCTTTCCATTTTCTTTAGGTGGACGGACGTTTTGGGGTGGCCTGTGGGGCAGTCTAGTGTAAAAGAAGAGAGAACTATGATGGCAGGGCTTGTTGGCAAATGCCTTGGTGCATGTCCATAGATCATACTAAGACCATACAACAGCAGTCAATAGAGCTACTGCAGCCAAAGTGCTGGCTGAGCAACAGCCATCTCAAAATGTATGAAGAAGCAAGGAAGTTGCCCTAACTGTTGGATAATGCTGTTAAAGAAAGAAGCGCTTACACAGCTGAAGACAGCACAAAGACTCTTCATATGAAAATGGAAGCCCAGCAGGGAGTCCAGAGCCATCTGGGCTAAGATCCTCAGCGACAGCAGTGGTAACTCGACTCTTGTTGCACGAACGACTGCTAGTGAGGCAGGCCTGCTCAGCGCTGTTGGCGGGTTCATGGCACACAAGTGCTGGAGCAACTCTCCTGAGGTACACGATGGCTTGAATGCTGGCGATGCAGCTGCGGCCGAGAGGCTTTTCAGAGTTTCCAGTATCAGAAGATGCAAGCTGAAGAATCTGAAACCTTCTGTGCCTCAGTTCATAGCCTGGCGTTTCAGCGCTGAATAAGCATCTCTGGATTTAAGACAGTACTGCCCACTGCCTGGTTTCCTTCCTTCACAGCTGGTGAGCTGGCTTCCTAACACAAACTTGACACAGCGGATAAGCACCGTGGTGCAATGCAGACTCAACCATGATTAGTTTATGGAAAAACATAACTGAGAAGCAATTTACTAATTAAAGCAAGGATTCCCCTGTGGTCCAGCTGAATATAGTAAAAAATTAAGTTGGCCTATAATTCCGATAGCAGGCACTTGAGAACAACAAAGGCACAACAAAAGATCCATTTCATATTTTAACTACTAAAAATATCTTGAAATTTGGGGGCTTGAAACACATGCATATCCACAGCAAAACACATATACAGACAATCACTGGGAAGATAAACAAGACTGTTCTAATAACAACCATGTTCATTTCAGCAACTAATAGAGGAGCTCTACAGTAAAAACTTTAAGTGTTGATTTTTATAAGCTTGCTTCCAATATTTTATTTTGCTTGGTGTAGTTGTCATCCAGCTACCTCTCATTATCTATCATAGATTTCATGTTTAAAAGCAGTGTTACTATATAGCTTACATGGCTCCTTTTAGAAACTTCAAGTTTTATTGTATCTCACAGAACTCTATTGCATTATTTTTTCTTTCAATTTATATCTGAGTTATGAGTAATTTCTCAGGGAGCTTTCACAATAAATAAAAGCCCTGGATCTGTCACAAGTAAAACCATCCATATAAATCAGTAATTCGGAGGTAACTTATGTCATCAGCGCCCATTCAGTTCAGACCAGGAAACCATACGCGTGCAAAGCCAACGTGACATAAAAGCTTAAGACGATCCTCTCGCACTCCAAAGCATACAGCCTTGACCTTTTTTACTTTTCTTTCATTTTTAATCTGGGAGGTCAGGCTAAGCCCAGGGCATTTTCACCCTCCTCTCTCTTTATGCAGTCTCCCTTCCTCACTTGATTGTCTGCTGATCGTCCAGCAATTTGGGCACAAAACCTCAGTTAAGTTCCTCTGCCTTCTACAAACTCCTTTTGTAATCAGGAACAAACCAGTTAAGACATTCTGTAAATTAAGCTATATTTTCCTGCTGGGGGAGGTGTCCAAGTATATTATTAGAAGTCTTAGACATGCCAAAATTTACTACAATTTGACCAGAAATCTATAGGTTCTTAAACTCATCTCAGCAGACACTAAGAACCATTAGCGCTCTGGAGGTAGACTCAAATTGCATGTGCTGCACATTTGTGTTTATGTATGTCTGAATAAAGAATTGTTATTTGCTTCCTTATACTCCCTGGGGCATAAGGTAATGTGGTAGCTAAAGTAAACAGCACCAGACAGACTTCAAAATTGATCCTACAGTTCATTCTACATTTTCCTGAAGGGCCTTTCATTAGCAGCACCCAAAGAGCGAAAGCATAATTTACCTTATGTAAGGTAGAGTTAATTATCCCACATTAGAGCTTCAGTGACCAATCTATGAAACAGCTGGTAACATCTTTTTTTAATTGCAAAACCATTGTCTATCTACCTTTTTTGTTTCCAGAATGCCATGTGCAATTTTTCTTGGTATTTTTTGCCTGCCTCATAAAAAGCTGGCCTGATTATCCTCAGATAAATACTGCATTACTAATGTCAGAGCTTAATGGATGCTAAGGAAGTGCAAAATTCCCTTTTCAGTTTTGTGAAATCTAAATGATTTTGCAAAAAAGTAAAAATTTCCACTTTTGCATTAAATTTTGCACATGGTGCAAGCAAGAAGTTTTATGAATAAGTTCCTAAGTCTTGGGTAATATTTATTCATAACGGATTCAGGCTATCCTGGATAGCCCTAACATCCTGCAACAGAAGCTTCAGACTCTGTTACAAGAAAAAAACCCAAGAAAATCCCAAAACAACCCCCAAACCACAGACAACACACACACAAAGGCATACCAGACCTAAATGTAATGATTTTCTGAGGATATCACACTTGCAGTGAGAGAACTGCGTACCTATCACCAACCCACATTCTCATGACTAAATTAAAAAAGCGATAATTTGCGGACACAAGAAAACCTTAGCCAGCTACAAGGGAAATGACATGCCTAAAAAACCCTGTCTGACCAGCAACTTGCATATACTGTTAATCATCATCACCGGGCAAGACAACAATTAATCAAAAAGTTGTTTTAAGGATATCTGCTCTTTTTGGTACCTCAGTATTCAGCAGAGCCACGTTCTATATAATCATGAGTAACATGTTCACGTTAAGCCATAACCATTATTCAAATATTTGATTTGAAAACTTCTGACATATTTTGTACAATGAACACTGACAAATATGGATCTTTGCCCATTCCGCCTTACAAGGTATACGGCAGCAATAAACCCAACACATCACTTTGCCTTTCACAACTAGAAGAATTAAATTTAAAAAAAAGACAACATTTTATCATCATTTGATTTGCTGTCTAAAAACTTATGTTGCTTTAAGCAACATAATAACATAGTAAGGGGTATCATGATTCTACTGTAAACCAAAAAACTACTTAGTACAGTACAGAGGCATCTGCAGCCTACGTGTAATGGCGTTGGGTTTTTAAACCTGCCTACTCTCCTGATAGCTTCCGTGACCTTAATATTTTTCACATTTAGATATTAATGGAATAAAACAAAAGGAATTAAACAAACTAAACAGCTGTATTATAGTTCAGTACAATAAAAATCTCTGTGAGAACAGGGGACGAAGCGGGGAAAGAGAGGCGTTTTTCACTGTACCTCTTTGCCCTGATGATTCTCACTGTCAGGTCACAGCAGCCGGCCGTCGCCAATTGAGACTGTTATTACAGAACAGCACCCTCCTCGGGGTCTTACAGGATCATTTCAGATGGTGCAGATCGTAATCCGTGCATAAAGTGTACTTCTCCTTGCAGGTCTGTCTCTCTCTTTTTTTAAAAATTCATTGTGCATGTAACACCAAAACAGACAGAAACCTTTGCTGATATTAAATGCATGAATACCACCGAGAGACGAAAATTCTTTTGTTCAGACACCTATCATAATGTTACTACTTGCACGACTGCAAAGCTTACCAGAGTTATTTTCTTACACGTATTTCTTCTGATGAGAAGAGAGCATTGACGAGAAGTTGCTCATTTTTCCAAAAATAGAACACAACACATTTTTTTCATATTTCTGTCTCATGCATTTTAAAAAGTCCAAAGCACTTATGATAAGAACAACTTAAAACCTGTCACTGCTGCAGAGGCAATGACAAGTGTTTAATTTTAAAACATGGTGATATATATTAATGAGGTATTATCTAAACTCCAAATATATAAACTTGTGTATTGCCATATACCAAAGAAAAAAAAAGTCAAAGGACTCAAAATGAAATTGCTGACCATATTTATGTCGTCATAAATAGGCTCATTTAATCTTAAACTCAATGCCAATGAACTTACAAGTGTAAAATAGAGCAGGATAATAAACCAGAATAGACCCTGCGCATAGAGAAGTTGCGGTACCACCAATTCAGACGTCATCCCCTCTGCTAAAATTGCTCTGAAACCACAGATATTTCCCTCTTTCGTTTTGATCATTTCTGATCATTCCCCCAAACTCCCATCACGATACAGATGTGATTTTCAGAGTGTAAAAGACTGTTCAGATTCTTCCTGCTTCAGATAAGGTGTGAAATTAGTATATAGCATATATATGATAATTTGGCCACTGAGAATCTGATGCAGGTGAATAGAGAAGTGCTCTCCTGTGTCTCCAGTAATTCATAAAATGTGAGATTTATTTCTGTAACATCCTTAAAGGCTACCTTCGAAAGTCAATTATCTCTAGAGCAATGCACAAACAAACCAAATTTTGAGACAAGCCTACGCCTCAAGTATTTTATAGAAAACCAGTGGTCAAAAATTCTTTTACCTAGTAAAGTAATAGGCTTTCAGTTAATGTTTCCTTCTAACAGAAGCCTTGCAGGAAGATGCGAATCTCTGAACAACATGCTTTTGTTCTTTCCAAAACCAGATGCTAACCGATACTGCCTTGAAGCTGAAGGACTCATGAGTCACCTTATTTTCACCCTAGTTAACATAAACGCAAATGCGCTCTGAAATGAGTGAAAGTGCTCAGCATATGATTAATTTAAAAAACAAACAAACAAAATCTAACCCAAAACCCAAACCCTTTCAAAATGGTGCTGAAGTAGCTCTTGAGACCTGGACTTCTCTATCTTGACCGTTCCTGTTTGGCTAATGGGCATTGCTTTGGCTTGACAGGACATCAGTCTTCCTGAATCCTTTTCTGCCCTGTGAGCAAGACCTCCCATAAGCCATCTCATGGCATTTATTACATAAACTACTCTGCTTTAAAAACAAACAAAACACTGAATGGAATAAAACAGATTTTCCCAACTGCATTTATTTCTACCGTAGAGCCTTCTTGGGGATGCAGGTAGAAGTCATTATGCGTTTCTCGCCCCGTTGATTGTGTGAGGAAGGGAGGGTGATGAAGAAAGGAGGGAAGTAAAAGCAAAAAAAAAAAAAAAAGAAAAAAAAAGAAAAAAAAAGAAAAAAAAA